TGTTCTTCTTAAAAAAATACTTGAATCACACAAAGTTCAATCATGTATAAACTTCACTCACAGTTTCTAAGCCCAAGTAACCCTCTCGACCTCTGAGCCACTCTTATTTGGGTTCATCACACGCCACGTGAGTTTTTGCCATTGCCGCATTATGACTGTAGTCACTATTTCCAAGACTCTCCTTCTCCCGGCTCTAGAATGTGCTCATCGGAGGCTTCAGCTTCCACAGCAGTTATCCTGTGCTGCCTTTGATATTTACATTCTGCAGTCTAATTGTTTTCAGGTGTTTAACTGTTGGTTCTTCCAATATGATTTGCAATTCTCTATAGCAAGTGTGGCTTTTTGATATTAGAAACACAACACATGTGCAGTCAATCTCATTCTAAGCATTCAAATATTAAAGAGATGGAGTTTTTAAATGGCATTCATGTTTGTTCAACTTGGCAAACATTAAAACTCCACTATGTGTCCAGCACTGTCAAGAATGGGGAATTCAGAGATTAAAAAAAATAAAATGTTAATGGCAGAACAGAAATGAGTCCTTTTTCTGTCTGCTGTACCCAGCACATGCCTCTCATATCTGCTCTGTTATGTTGCAATGTTCTGTGTTCCATGTGGCCCCTCCTTGGCTTAGCACCTCGAGGATAGGGAATGAGTATTTAGCGTTTAACTTCTCAGAGTCCAGCACAATCCCTGCACATCCTGGCTTCTCGAGCAATGTTTGGAATGAACTGTTGAACTATATTATTGTGTCATTTAAAAATTTTTATATTTTTATGGGAGGGGATAACAGAGAGGGCACCCAGCCTATTTTTCCATTTCTTGGCCAGGGTACGTCCTTTCTGCCAAATGACAGTCCTGTCAGACTGCATTTGGACACCATTTCACTTGGACAGTAACTTTATGTAAACCCACATTGGCAGTCTTCAATTGGTGGGTTACATTTCTGAGGAGACACTGTAATTTAGAAGCATGTAAACTGGTTAAACAAACCAGAGTCTTTCATTCTGAACAAGGACTTCAAGTTCATATTTTTGTGGAAAAGGTCCATGTTTAATAAATTTTGATATACCTTTTTTCTTATGCAGTCTAGTTTTCTAAGGTTTAGCACTTTATTGTATAATCTGATCCCACCGGTGTTCCCATGGTGTTTAAGATTCATGTAGAGATTTTGTAAAGTATACGGATAAAACTGTTCATACTGTGGCTGTTTCTGAGGAGTAGCCCTGATGATGACACTCAGGTGAGAAAGAGGATTTCTGTATTTTTCTTTAAATCTTCTATACTGCTTTGAATTTTTCTTAATAAGAATATTTTACCTTTTTTTTTATTAAATCATAGTTGTGTACATTAATGCAATCATGAGCTACAATGTACTGGTTTTATATACAATTTGAAATATTTTCATCAAACTGGTTAACATAGCCTTGGCGGCATTTTCTTACTTTGTTAAGACATTTCTATTCTACACTTAGTAAATTTCACATGTACCCTTGTAAGATTTACTTCTATGTGAAAAACTGAATTAATAGAGTTGACATGAATCCCAATTAGGATAATGTGGGGAAGTCATTTTGGGAAAATGGTGACAGGCTGGGGGAAAAGTATCAGACCATGAGACCCTGCAAGGAGTGCTTTTTAAAGCAGAAAAGTTACTCCTGGAGAAATGGCTGAGTAGAGTAGGGGGCCGTGGTTGGATCTGGAGCTGGTGAGAGGAGGTTTTCAGGTGCCAAAGCACATCAGGAACACTTTTAGGTGGGTGGTTTGTGCAGGGGTAGCTTTAAAAAAGCTCGTAGGTCCTTGCGGTTAGATGAGTTGTGGCAGTGCAGGCTCCTGAATACACGGGCTGCATTTGGTTGTACACACAGCAAAGATTGACTGAGACCAGGAAAGGCCCTCAAGAGCTGCTTCAGGGGTAAGGACTGGGTACCAAGCAAAGCTTTATAAAAAATGCTTCATTGCACAGACAATATTTTTAGGTTGTTTTCCCTTATGATTTGAGCAAAAGAAAAGGACCTTGAACACACAAAAAGAAAGGAATAGTGATAAGAGATGGGTGAATGAATGTCGTTTTGAAAGTTACAGCAGGCTCATCTTAATAAGGGGTATATTTTCATGAATCCAGGTCTGAAAAAGTTTTGGGTGGGATAATATGTCCTTTATTTATTCTTGCCTGTTAAAATTAAAAGAGGCTTATTAAATAATGTTAACATGTGGCATAGTAGTTTTTTTGGATTAACATTAAGTAGGTCATAAATGTATATTGTAATAACCCTTTCTGTTATACTTTTATTAGATAAACATTTTACAATTCTGAAAGATTTGATTCAGAAATATTATCTTTAACATTTGAAAACTCTACCATGTCCTTCCCAAACTACTTTCTATGCATGAACGCATACATACAGACACAGATGGTGTTATTGTATTATGCTATATGTATTTTGCAACTTGCTTTGTTTTTTTTTAACAGGTTTTAAGAGTTTTTCTGGGTTGTTAATTTTAATTCACCTTGTCCATTTAAGTGGTTGTAGAATTCTATAATTTCATCGTATCGTGTTTGTGTTCTACTTAAATTTGAGAACAAATAATTAAGCTTTCTTCTAGCAGATTTTTGCCTAAGGAAGTCCTGAGGGACTTTATGGAGAATGACTGGTGTTTCGGAAATTCTCCAATCTATGCACTGGTGTTAGGAGCATGGAATGAAATGAAGAAAAGGAGTTACGAGTAATAATAAAGAACTGCAGAGGACCTTGTAAAATTAATTCTAAGTGCTTAGTGATATAGCTTTTTGGCCACAAAGCTTAGTGGTGCAGGCCATATTTTAAAGAGAAATCAGACCTTATAGGTAACAGCTGATTTCTGAAGCGTATCGTCCTCTTTTTGCAAAATATAAAGGCTTTGTTCTCTTCACCCTTTAGTTCTGTTTTATCCTCTGGAATGCTTATCATTATTTCTTGGGAAATCATAGCAGGAAAATCTGCTTTAAAAAAAAAACAACAACTATAACAAGAAAACTAACAATTTGTGGACAGAATGGTCATGTATTTTGACCATGATTAAGAGGGTACTGACCAGCTATGGACCATTGTTTTATGAAAATATAGGTTACAGCCTTGAAGACTACAAGAGAACCTTCCATGGATAAATTATTAGTCTGTGCCTGTCATTTTTTTCTTCCCTCCCAAGGGAGCAATGTTGCAATTTGTATGTGAACTTTAACCCTTTAATCCTTTTAGAAGTTGAGTTATCTATGTTATGGTGGTAGTTTAACACATCAAAAGTTGTTTAGACTCAAAATGGAAAGGCAAAGAATTGCCCCTTTTTCATAGGCCTAGAAATTGTCTTTGTGTGTGTGTGTGTGTATGTGTGTGTGGTTTTTGGCCAGGGCTGGGTTTGAACCTGCCACCAACTCTGGCATATGGGACCAGTGCCCTCCTCTGAGCCACAGGCACTGCCCTGTCATTGTTTTTAATGGCATCTCTTTTGATGCATTTTTTTTTTTTTTGCCTTAAAATTCTACCTCCTAGCATTAGTTTCTCCATTTTCAAAATGTTGATATTTAGTGATTTCACATCTTGGTTGCATTTTTCATCCCATCATCTCTTCGCTTATAGGAACTATATACATATTTAAAGCTCTTTTGAATACTTAAAGCACCAAATAATTCTGTAGGCTTGTTAAATGAGTAAATATGATGTCATGAAGTTTTCACAGCGCCTTACATACTTTGCAGGCTGTTAATTGCCATCAGTTAAAACTACTGCAGTAGTAACACACGATAATCTGTTGAAAACCTGGCCTTCTACCAATCCTCCAACGTTATTTCCTTTCCTCTGCTTGAAGAGTATTTATTTTCACCTGTGCATACCAATGATCTCTGGTCTAAATATTACTCGCCTACCTGAGAATTGGGCCTAGAATACAAGCCTACGTTCCTGCTTCGTTTTGTCCCCTGTTGTGATCTGTTCCTAATTCACTGACCTTCCTATCTGCAGATTACCTATATGAACCAGTGAATTAGGTATATGGCAAATCCTTAACCAAAGTCGTGTGATGTCATTGATATCCATGTTTTATACAGGAGAGAATAGAACCTCAGAGGGGCATGCAGTTGTCCACAGAGCTGGGAAGGACAGAGCTGGCATTCAAACCCAGATTGAGTAGGCCTGAAATCACATCTGTTTTGCAAACTGTTCCTAACAGATGTCTGTTAGTGACTTTACAGAGAATAGAAAATGGACTTAAAAGGCAGATGGTTTTAGGGGCTTTCAAAATCAACTCAACCACTACTGGCTGCGTAACTTAATTTCCCTTAGTCTCATTTTACTTATTTGCAAAGTAGAGATTTTACTACCCACCTTGCAGGGTGGTTGTTCCTTGAAGATTCAGTGGAAATGTATATAAAGTTTTTGACACATTCATTAGAGACTTTCAACAAGGTGCCCTAGACTTCCCCCTCCAACCCAAGGTAAATCGCCTTCTGATGAAAGTAGATGCCTACCTTGACCAGTGCCCTCAATAATCGACTATATATTTAAAAATACTTTCAAAATGAAAATTCCTTGTCATTTACTACCCCCAAACACTGATTACACTTTTCCTATTGTGTTTTCCACTGTGGGTCTTTTGAAGGACAGAACAGATTTTATTAGGGGGAAGCAATGTAATTTGTAGGGGGAGTGTTTTGTTTATCTTTTAAATTTATTTTTTGTTTAAATCTCATTTGGAGTTGCAAACATTTCTGAAGGGTCCCATGCTGCTTAGGGCCCTGGGCTGGCGTTCTTAGCTTATTGATGTGGTGAGCTGTTGGAAGAGGTTAGAATGATTTAAAATGAGATGACGTTGGCAAACAAATGAGTTGAGCAATATTTTTCTGGCCATGACAATGGTCAGACCTGCAGTTGGACGAGCCAGTGAGTTTGTGACACTATTATTTGCAACACAAGTAAATTTCTTTGACTGAAACGTTCTCTTTTTCTCTTTAAAATTGTTTTCAGGATGCAGAATAGAAAACTGTGATTCTTGCTTTAGCAAAGACTTTTGTACCAAGTGCAAAGTAGGCTTTTATTTGCATAGAGGCCGCTGCTTTGATGAATGTCCAGAAGGTTTTGCACCACTAGATGAAACCATGGAATGTGTGGGTGAGTACTGCTTAATGTAACTCTCAAACTGTAACCTGTAACACCTGTTTCTTCAAACTACGCATATTGGATATAGTTAGCAAAAAAAAAAAAAATTGATTCTATTGTAACTTAGAAATGAAAATTACGTTCTTTGCTGATTTTCTGAATTCTTTAGGTATTATGACAATGAGGGGGGTCTCATATTTTATCTTGGTACAAAATTTGTTGTGCGAAATTGCTGTGCAAACTGTTTACATGCTGATAAATGTTTTTACCATTTGTGTAATATAGCCATTTCTTATCTAGAACATTATTAGTAACTCTTAGAGAAAAATACTTACAAGAAAATTTTCCAGCAGTACCACATTGGTTAACTACTTTATTGCTTTTGCCATGTATGTGAATTTGGAATTTCTTAACCATTCATGTAAAACAAACAAAAGTCAATGAAAGAGAAATTTTTTGTGCCAAGTGTCTTTTTTTTAATAATTGACTGCAGGCTACAAAGTGCCTTAAAACAATTTTACTAAATTTAGATGCCTAGAATGCATAATTTAATTACACACATATACTGTTTGTGAAAAAATAATTATAAATGCACATTTTATACATTTTTTCTTAGTGTTTGTAAACTATATCAGCATTTTATTCCCCTGATTGAAAAATGAATGCCAGCATCTAATTCAGAGGCATAATGACTTGTCCCCCTCTCCCCACCCTGCGTTTTATTTGATATTGTGTATCTGGTATGATAAACAACAGAGCTGTTATGAATTAGACTTTTCATCCCTAAAAACAGACTTAGAAGAATATTGACTTTTTTCTATTGAGTTTATAATTATGTATTTCAGAGGTTGCAGAGAATACATTTAAATGAGAGGTTTTTGAAGAAAGAGGTCCACTTATATTCCCATTTATGTGTGAATTAATAATCCACATAGGGAACATGCTACTAAAAATGAGAGTGTTAGGCTAGGCATGGTGGCTCACACCGGCAATCCGAGCACTCTGCGAGGCTGAGGCAGGTAGATTGCTTGAGCTCAGGAGTTCAAGATGAGACTGAGCAAGAGTGAGAATCCCATCTCTACTAAAAATAGAAAAAAGGACCCAGTGAGCCACTGGTTCCTGCAGTCCCAGCTACTTGAGAGGCTGAGGCAAGAGGATGTCTTAAGCCCCAGAGTTTGAGGTTGCTATGAGCTATGATGCCACACACTCTACCCAGGGCAACAGAGTGAAACTTTTTTTTTTTT